GAGTAGTTAGTATAATATATGTACAATTTTCTCCATCATTCCTGAAATTCCACTTCTATTGGATTTTTTCAATTTTTCAATTCTATTGCTTGTTCTCCAAAATATCTATTTTAAATTTTTCAATTCTATTGCTGGATACAATTCTTTACTTTAATTTCTGTTTTATTATAAAGAAAGGTTAATGTATTGGAGATTTACATAAGATAAGTGTTTTTATAATAAATATTTTGGAGAATAGAATTGAAAAATTGAAAAACTCCTGTAAGAGTTGAGTTTTAGGAATGAGAGATAAATAAAAAAAAGAATTGAAAAACTCCAATGAAAGTTGAGTTTTAGGATAGAGAATTTAAAAAAATGAAAAACTCCAATAGGAGTGGAGTTTTAGGAGAGAGAATTGAAAAACTCCCTCCCCATTATCGATTTTTTATAGAATCTGCACCAATTTTGTAATTAAGAAAAAAGGTGCACCAAAAATGTAATTTTATAATGAAGTGCACCAGACAAGTACAGCCAATGATGAACTAGTAAAATGAAAAGAAAAATGAAAACTCTTCAACTTGGACTAAAAATATTCTTTTGACACATAAGCATTTCATCCTTTCCAACTTCTAAAGCTAGGATATGTACTGAAAAATAATTAGCATCATGACGTATGTAGAGATAATTAATAAAATATTAAAATTTAATAAAAAATAATAATACAAATAGACATAAATATACTTGTATTTAATATGATGGGTTATATATGTTTAATTTTTTTTTGGGGAGGGATCCACTTACTGCAAGAGTAAGTGAAAAATGACTTACTCCACATCTCAACCATCCAATCTTGGAAAATCCAATGGTTTGAATTGGTAAGTACATCTAAACCGTTGGATTTTCCAAGATTGGATGGTTGAGATGTGGAGTAGAGTAAGTGGATCCCTCCTCTTTTTCTTATATGCAGCTTCTATTGATTCCCTGTACCTCTCCACCTTCAACTTCTCTCTTCTCTGTATTATTACCCAACTTGGCAACTTGCATCCACTCATATTCACCAATTTGGTTACAAGAGGGCCCTTCCCAAGTCACGTTCTTCAACCTTTCTTGCGTAAGCTTTAATGCTTTGCACGTGCTAAGTTTATTGCAAGGATTTTGGGATTAGAAGAGAAATTGAACATGAACAACTATAAATAAATTCCCAAACACTGCATAGCAAGCAATTCCACATTTTAGCAAGTTGAATCAATTGGCATGAAATTTGATTTCTTTAGCTAAATAAAGGTTTTGGGTTTTACCATAAAATAAAAGTATTATCATATATCTCTTGTTTTAAATCATGTTACAAATAAATAATATTAAAATAATGAGTATTTAAAAAATTTAATTGATATAATATTTTTGAAAATAAATCGAGACAAGATATATCTATTTTTGTGCAACATTCATCTCCAACCCTTGAATGGGAGGCCACGATTTAAAGCTTAAACGATAATCATCTTATCATGTCAATGGATCAATCAAATCCTTCCCTCTTCATTGAACAATTGGATATATCTGCCAAAAGGATGTCTCACACGTCAGACCATACATACTAGTTTTGAAACACACAACTTTCCCACGAAAATAACTGTTCAAGATTTCATCATCAACCAGTATTTCAAAAGTTTTTTTCATGCGTTAGCCCCACAAAACAACTTACCAAACCCATATTATTGGAGTTATATATGCCTTCTATTAAACTTTTTTTATTTAAGAAATGTATATTATGTGGTTAACTAGACTAGTAAAAATCAATGAAGACTTCATAAAAAAATGATGTACAAAATTGATAACCAACGATGGTAATAAAATATTTTACTTGGTTAACTTGGTATAAATGTAAATAAATAAAAAAGATGGTGCAAGCGTTATTTTTTTCTAAGTCACTACTAAATACTAATACAGAAAAGTAGAGCAAATCACACATGAGTGATGTTTCAATGTCAAAATCTGTCCCATTACCTTTTCATCTTCTTCTATATTAGTCCAAGACTATGTTCTACATTCTTCGGTTGCTCTAAATTCAGAAGAAATTTTGTCCTCGCTAGATATAAAACTGATAAGAGCGGCGTGTGCAACAAAAGCTATATGGTCCATGCAATAGAGACAGACACAAGGCGTGGCTTTTTTTACTTTCTGTGATTAATAATTGAGTAAGAAGCCTAGTGCCAATGAACTTCAACTACTACCTTAAACTATCATTTTTCAACCCGAATAGCCGCTAAGTTTTTTTATGGAACAAGCTCATACATGCAGCTAGAATTAGCAATTATACATGTATTGAATTAAATTTCCTTCTTATTTTGCCTACTTTAATATTGGGTATTGGAAGGAAGGAAAATGAATAAATTATATTGAATTATATTAATTAAATAACTCAATTAACTTATCTTACAGCAAATTTAACTACTTTTAGAATTCCCTTCCTCATCAACCAAACAATCAAACACTAGAGAAAAAACAAAGGCTACAACCCAACACAGTCTCTAAACTTATGATCCAAAACAATTCGTATTTTCTCTTTGGGAAACAATGAGAGAATACAAATTTCTCTTTCCATAACTAATCAAACTTCATAAAATAATATTAAAATATTAATTTCTGATTTTTTATTTTTAATTGAATAGAGCATTTTGATTGGTTTGGTACACAATAAATGGAGACATGTGATCCCATTAAAAATTTATGCCTTACTTAGATTACTTTATCATTTTTTCGGAAAATTACTTTGTTGAAAACATTGTCTAGCATTTATTGCTATCACATAAATATCCAATATAACCGCCAGTGTTGCATCGGGGTGATAAAAGGGTAAAGATGTCAAAATTCAATGGAAAGGACATGAAAGTGTTTATTCTTTTTTTTTGGACATTCGAAAACATTATAAAAAATATGAGTTTAATATATATAATTATAAGTGTAAAGATTTATGTACCGTAATTATCTACTATTCATTTATATCATTTTTATATATAAATCAACAATAAAAAAAATATGAATAGAGGACAATACAATAATAATGTAAAAAAAATCACAAAATAATCTTTTTCCCAAAAACTATTTATTCTAGCATGCAACACACTTAATTTGTAGGAGCAAAAGGGACTGCTAATTCTACGATCATTAGTTTTTTATCTCACTAATGATGTTTAATGTATGTCAACATAAAGGGGAAATGCATTTTTAAGTAGTGAACAAAATTAAAAAATAAGTAGTGAACAAAATTAAAAAATAATTTAACTAATTAATCGACGTGGTAACTAGTAAGTTATTTCTACACTACTTCAAAATTAGTTGTTAATGTTTGAATGAGATAGCCCCAATATCAACAAAAGAAAGAAACAAGAGATATATATACGTTTATAATAAAAGAAGAGGAATTGACAACCACAAGCCAACATTTTCTGTACAACTACTGCATTGACCGAAATGCCCTCCGTCTTTGTATTAACGTTTTTTCATCCACGAATACAGAGGACGTTAGCGAAGACGAAGAAAACAAGAAATAAAATTGTAAAAAGAAAACCAAAAAAATCTCGAACCAAAACCAAAAGATAAAATTAAAAACAGAGATAAACTCCAGATTTCATTCTTCTCCTTTTATGTATCGTAGGAACCTTTCTTTCAAATCCCAATCTTTTTTTGTATGGTAAATTTGGGGGGTGAACCCGGTTTATCGGTTGGGTTAATCGGTTCGACTATGACTTACTTAGTGTCAGCGTCACGGTTCATCCCTTCAGTTAAAGACGCGAGCTTCTGGAGATTAAGTTTGACAACTGTATCAGCGAAGAGACGCGTGTCCTCTTCAGTGTTACCCTCAGGCACATCAACTATATAAGATTCCAGAACAACGGTCCAGATCTCACCGTCACGGTCGAACCCGTGAACCGAGGTGACGGAGCAGTAATTTCTGAGTCGGTGTTCGCCTCCAGTGATGCTGAAACCAGTGACGTGTCGGTCATCGTCTAATATGTCGAGGCGTTCGGTACTGGTAGCAGCCGGTAATCCGGAGATTACGTTAACTTCCCTGGTGCACCCTACAATCATGTTAAAGGGTTCCTTGACGGAACAGGATTTGATGAAGTGCTTGTAGAGCTGGGGTTTGTCGAAGCGGCGAACGACGGACCAGACAGTTTGCGGCGGCGAGTGGATGCGCTGAGCGAGGAGGGTGGAGCATTGGCCGGGGCCTGAGGTGTAGGTGTGGTACTCCTTGATGGCGGGTTTGAGGGTTTGGAACTCGTCGTGGGTGAGGCCGAAAGAGAGGGTTAGGTTGTGGTCGTCGAAGGATGAGTCTTGTTCGGTGGTGGAAGAGTTCTCGCCTTTCTCCATCTGAGAGAGAGAGAAAGTGGAGATGCTGTGGCTCTGTTGCGAAATGAGATTTTGAGGGGCAGAGCGGGGTGATCTTGGAATTTCTTGAGAATTTTGTTTCTTTCATCATATATAAATAAAAATCAGATTTAATGGGCATGTGTAACTATTATTAAGGGTTAAAAATTTACTAAGAGTGGGTCTGCTATGTATATATATAAATGAATATTAATAATTATTAAATATAAATGTTGAATGATATAATTATATATGATAAATATATTCTCTTTTTTCTTTTTATGCATTATGTTAATTCATGGTGTATTACTATCATATTATTATTGTTTGATAAAGGCACTGTGAGCTTATCAATTAAATGTTGATCAATTGGTCTAATATTATGTTACATTCGTGAAATTAGTACTTATTGGAAAAGATAACAGTAGGGATGACAATGAAAACCGAACTCGCGGGTACCCGCCCGAACCCAACCCGAATTTAATAAGGAAAATCCGATGTGATTGGGTTCGGGTTTAAGTTTTACCCGAGTTCAAATTTCGGGTTTGGTATTGTTAATACCATACCCCGAACCCGTCCCAAACCCGTTTAATATATATAAAATTATAAAAGTACACATATATAATATATGTATATAAAAGATATACTTTCCAGGTTTTAGTGTTGTTCCCTTCAAAACAATGCAATAATCCACGGTAGCAAAGAACATGGAGAGTATCTGTGCACTTGATGCATTATATGAGAAGGTATGCTTATACTTTTTAGGCAGTTGCATAGTTATATTTTCTAGCAGTTGCATAGTTTGAACGGTATATATATAAATTTCGTATATATATATATATAAAAGAAATATATGTTTAGTTCGGGTTCAGATTACCTGAAACCCGCCGAGTTCGAGGATGATATCATTTTTTCAACCCCGCTTAATTCAGGTTCGGGTTTTGGGTGAGCACAAACCCGACCCACTCCGTTGTCATCACTAGATAACACTTCATCGTAAGAGTAATTAGTTTATCACTTTTTTTTAGGTAAGAATATGATTTTAGTAGTATAAAAAAAAGGAGTGTGGACTTAGGGTGAGAACCACTAACATAAAGGTACTAGTTCATTCTTTTTTAATATGCAAAATTTTGGATGAAGAAAATGCATTAACATATCAATCCAAGATTAATCTTCTTACCTGAATTGAAACTTTAGGTGCTGGATAATAATTCATGAGCTTTGAACCCATCAAATAGGTAAGAAAGAATAATCTTGTAAAATTTCAGTTGGGTACTTTCCCTCCCAAGTAAAGGCTCATGATGATTCATTTCATTTAGCCCCTAGGGATGTGTATGAAATCAGCAATGGCCCATAAGACCATGTCAACTGCAAGTTGCAGAAGTTACCATTTCCGTTGATTGTTTTAGGTACATACACTCAATGGATCCAACACCATTCGTGACATTGATTGCTTCAATATATCATAAATAAGAATAGATACATGTGGAGCTCCAATCATGAAAGTTGACCAATAAATAGAGGAATCTATACTTTTTCTCAATTATCGGTGATTAATTTAGATTATTACGCTACAACAGAATTATAAAATTTTCTGAAGATAATATTACCAGAAAGTCCAAGCTGAAATCATTTAAGGGAATATATTATTGGATCAGTGGAAGTTGAGGATTATGATTGTTCTCAAATATTGGTGCTCAAATAGTTGAGCCTTGTATGAGTCTGAAATTATTTCATTACAATAAATGAACGATGTCACGATGATGGGCGTGACATAACTAACACATTAATTGTCTGTTTGTAGCCACCATTAGATGAAATGGACATTTCCTTTTCTTTAGAAGATCAACATGAAAAAATTACTTACTTTTTTGCTGGTTATGTGGTCATCTGAATTAGACATTCTTCTTACTCTCAAATATTGGAATATAAGGGGCCTCATGATTCATATTTTTTATTTAAAAATAATTTAAAATTTAAATCATTAATTTTTTCGAAGGACATATATCATCATCATATTAAATATTAGATAAAAATGAATTCTTTGAATTGTATAACTTTCTCCATTGTGAGTTTTTTTTAAACAAAGAATTATATTTTATGGCCCTAATTTTTATTTCTAATTTTTCTTTTGTAACATCAAACTCATAAAGAAAACTTAAATTATATTGTGTCCTGTTCCAAAATTAATAAACTGGTTATCCACATCATTCCACTGATTTCCAGCTAAGCAGGGCCTTTGTCTCTTGTGACATCCATATTGATCATGTTAATTTCATTTTCAAGCTGGTCAATTTAAATCCCATGATTCACGAATCACAAATATAAAAAAGAAGAAGGTTGTATAAAGCATTTTAAATTATATTTTGTGGTAATGAAATGATCTCCTAGCTAACTAGTAGCAGTAAACCTTGCTACACCATCATATTCCTTTTCATTGGTGGCATGAAAATTAATAAGCACAATGTCATATTATTCGAATTTGTTAGTTATTTTATATATGTTCCCCTATACGATTGTTAAGGCATCATAATGAAGTTGCCATTTAAACTTTTATTAGTGGGTGTATCAGATTCCAACTCCTTAACTAATTGTTTTTCTCTTTATCACTATTATTTGCCTTGGATAATTAGGTAGTGTAAGTATAAACATACAACCCAACTCGAGTAGAACATTTTTAGGTGAAAATAATCCCAAGGTTTTTGTATATCAATATTCAATATGTTAGTGCAAGAAAAAGTACTCTTGAAATATTATATTTTTGTCAATATAAAATTTCAAGGTTATTTTTTGGGTATAAATAAAATTGAATTATTAGTGTATCAAATTTGTTGTTAATTACATAAAAGTATCTTAGCTGCATGGTATTTATATATGTATATATATAGGACCGCCCAAACGATGAGATCGGTGGCGTATTTCCAATAATTCAACTCAAACAATTAGCAATTTTGGGTTTTGTTTGAATCTGGAACAATATGTGTGTTATTGCAGGTCATGCTTTCACATACTTATAGAATTTAAAAGTATTCGAATCTAAACAAAATCCAACATCAACATAATTTATTATCACAGAGCAATAAACCACAAAGTTTTAAAAACAAAGATATAAATGTCTAATAATAATGTGCAGGCCAACTCCAAAAGTTGTAAAATAAATTAATCAATGGCTATAGCAAGAATTAGCAGCCTAATAGTTTTAAATGTGGCCAAGTAATAGGAGGCTTCGATTTCTTTCCACCCTTGTGTTTCTGTTCATTACTCGTCTTTGGTTTATTCTTCACCACTTTCTGCTTAGGAGGACTGCATTTTTTCACTTGAAGCTGTACAGTCTCAGATTTTTCCTGCACCAATATATGTCAATCATATACATTCTTGGGTTTATTCCATTAACTTGACACATAGGATTCTTTAACCATCAAAATCACCAAGTAATGACTTCTGTGTTTTTTTATTAAAAAATTACTCTTTCTAAAAGTTAAGAAGAATAAAATTTAGTAATACATGCGAGAGGTTTCTATTATTGTACAACCTTTCCATAACAGGACAACATAAAGATCCAGGGTCCAAGACTCCAAGCACTAATTAATTATAGCATAAGAAAAAATATGTGAAATTTGGTTTGACCACTGGGTAGTGACAGTATAATAATAAAACAGTTACATCGGTTTAGCTTTAAAGCTATAAGTTTTAGGTAATAGTTTAGTTTTCAACGATCAACCATATTAATTATGAGAAATTCGCTAGTATCTGAGTAGTTTTTTTTTTCTTTACCTGTAATTCCAATGTCCTATTATGGTCCTGAGGTATTCCTTTGGCTCCATAATTAGGAAGATTGTTGAAGGTTGGAAATGAGTAAAATGTTTCTCCCTTAGACCCTTGGCTGGATGAAGACTCCCCAGAAGTTTCTGTTGAAAAACGTGGTAAATGGAGAGAGCTAGAATTTGACTCCATCTCCAGGAAAAGCTAAATGAACAGCGTAACAAATTAGTACACAAATATAGTTGTATGTTAGCGTTGATCATAGATAAAACATTAAAACCCCAGAAAAATTAAATTAAATCCATGCAATATGTTATAAATAACATGTATATACACACACAGAGATATATATATATATATAATGTTATGATCATGTTTTCCCACAGAAACAAAGGTTTCGACCAACGTAGTGGGAGTGTGATTGAGTGATGTAGCAACAAATTAAAGTAGTAGTTTCTTAGTAATTAATTTGATTGATGGTGTGACAGGGTTGTCATTTTGTTAGTCATGTTCCAACTACATACATCAATTTGAGAGGTTTAACTTTCATGAGGTACTTGGAATGGAATGATTCTCTCACAAATAAGCAATTTTACTTATTTTTTGCAAGTGGTTCAGGTCATAAGTTTTGTCTTTTCTAATTGTATGCTTATTTCAGAAAGTATGCTGATATATTGACAGATATGTAAACTATGCAAAACTTGACAGAACATAATCTTTCACCTGGTAAAGTCTGTGCTCAAGAAAGGCCACCCGATCCAACAATGTTAAGTAATTCTCTTTCTTAGCCAAATCAAGAGGTGCTTTGTCAGTAGGAACATTGCTGCCACTTCTTTGTTTTCTCTCTAAATATTTCATCTGTCATGATAGCCACAAATGCATATTACATATATATATATATATATACACACAGTTACATTGATAGAATGATTATATAAGCACAATTGTGACAATTTAGAAACTTAGTAATAAGTAAACAGAAAAAAAAAAGATTGGGTTGTGGATTATGAAGGAGTTTGGGAGAGTGAAAAGCTCACAATGAACTCCAAATGATCCAACCTAGCAATGATAGGGATGGAGGAGTCATTAGATCGAGAGGGTACTTTGGGTTCATCCATGTTTGAGATTGTTTGTGTTATGATAAGAAATAATAAAGGTTATGTGTATATATATATATATATATATATAGTGGTTTCTTTGATCACTCACCCAAGCAAAGTGAATAAAACCAACACAGTTTTCAACTCAGTTACTCATTCCCGCGTTTTACTTGGAGCGAGATTTCTTGAGTACACCTCGCTGGTCATACGTTGGTTTGTTATGTTACATGGCACTGAGCCACTGACAGTTTCTTTATGATACTTTTCTTGAAAAATAACACATCAATAATCACCTAGATAATTAAGGATATTATTTTTAAATTTGTTTCAGGAATAAGTAGGCTTTCAGTGATGTTATATGTTGAAAGATAAAAAACACCCTTAAAACAAAAAACAACTTAGAATTATTATTATATTTTTAATTAATGGTTATAGTTAAGACATTTTATGCTGAGATAATGTGTTAGGATAGTGACATCAACCTTTGTATCTTGCTCATATCCTATCAGCCTCAGGTTTCTAAACTAGTGGTTTAATTGCGTGATAATCATTTTCATTCTTTCATTGAAACTTGCATTCGATCAAAGTATATGCATAATCAAAATCCATATTTTTCATTTAAATTCTACAAAATGGTAGAATAGTCTAGTTGATTAGAGTTCACATGTTCTCTTCCCAAAAATTTCTGATGTATTTATGCAAAAGGTGAAGAGGAATATAATTCAGTGAAATAAAAAAACCATGCCACCCATTGACACTGAAATGGTATAAGAGTGTCATTCTGGATACAAATATGGCCATCAACTAATTTGGAATCAATATCTGCATCTTGGACACTTTTCAGTTCAAACTAATTTTTGTTAGTTAGGTGCATGAGTAATCTGGTGCTTGCAAGTTCAAATGATTCCATCCTAATATTGCTCACTAATAATTTTTCATTCAACAGAAAAAACACAATTCTAAAATTGAAGGGTGCATGCATTACTTTACTGGTAAAACAATTATTCCTTGAAGCAATAGTGGAAGATATATAAGCCTTTGTGACTAAATTGCAATAGATGAAATAAAAAGGTTTTAGGAATATAAAAGAGAAAAAGAAAGAAACATGGAATTCAATGGTACCCTATATCAAGCCTTCTATATGAATCAATCACCCCAGAGCTGATCTTGTCATCTCATATGCCAAGAAGCATGCTGCATTTGCAGGAACACTTCTGGCCATTGCTGGACCAAAACCCTTGTAAAGGCCTTTGAATCCTTCAGTAGCCCGAATCTTTCGCAACGCATCAATTGAACCAGAAAACTTCGGACTTTTATAATCATCGACTTGAATCACACTCTTAACAACATCAGTTGGGTAAACCATGACCCAGAAAGAAGCTCCAGCCAAACCACCAGCAACAATTAGAGAACCTCTACCTAGTCCAGAGGTATCAGGGCCTCCTGCAAGATATTGCTTTAATGATTCATATACACCGAACATGGCAGCATTTCCTGGTATTTCACGTGCCATAGTGGGAGCCAAGCCCTTGAATAGGCCTTTTACACCGCCTTCTGACCTGAGAACCTGTCTGGCTACATCCATTGGTCCTCCATATTTCACTGCCAATGTAGCTGTTCCAGAACCAGCGAGTGCACTTTGTGCTTGCAACCTGATGTTTACCATGAAACAAAACAGTTGATTAGAAAATCAATTCTTATCTGA